CTGGGCCAAAGCCCCGAGCGCGGTGTCCCGCCAGCCCGTCTCCTGAGAAGCGCACGGCCCGGCCAGGCGGGCGCCCCCCACCCCCTCCCTAATGGGACTGACGTTGTGTCCCCCGCAGGAAACGACACTAGCCCCGAGAGCTTCCTTTTGCACAACGCGCTGGCCCGAAAGCCTAAGCGGATCCGAACCGCCTTTTCCCCGTCCCAGCTTCTGAGGCTGGAACACGCCTTCGAGAAAAACCACTACGTGGTGGGCGCCGAGAGGAAGCAGCTGGCACACAGCCTCAGCCTCACGGAAACTCAGGTGAGTGGGGCCCAGGCGCGGCGACCCCCACCCCAACCTCGGGACCCACGCAGCTGGCACACAGTGCCGAGCTCAGAGAGGGCCCTCGCCAAAGGGCCCGGGACTTGGTTCCACGCCCCCCGCTCAGGATGTAGACGTTTCCAGGTGCCAGGCTTCCTTGGGCTCCAGATGGGACCGCAGGAGTCTACCTGGCCCAGGCGCTGGGGAGAGGGGCGGGGGGCGGGCGGCCTGGGTCGCTCCTTCTGTCCGCTGGACTTAGCTCCTGGCTAACACAGTTGCACTTTTGGGGAAACTTTTGGCGAGAGTCTGGGGACCCGGCTGGGGTCCAGGAAGAGGGAGAGAACAGTGGGGGTGTCGGAGTGTTGGGTGTGGGAGCTGGAGAAGTCTGGGAATTGGTTAAAGGCAAGTTCTGTGCGAACACAGACCCCTGCTCACACCGGTTACTCCCCACGAAGGGATCTGAGAGTCGGAAGGCAGAGGCCGTGTATCGTGGGCGCGTCCCTAAATCGGAGAATCAGAGCTGCGAGGCTGAGGCGAAGGGACAGGCCCTGCCTGCGCCGCGGGGTCCCGGCTCTGGCCGGCCCATGGGCGGGGAGGGGGCTCGGGGCTACAGTAGGCGCTACTGTACGCGGAGCCGCAGGGTGGGGTCAGAGTTCCCGGCAAACAGTAACGTTTTGGTGCGGATTAAGTTGTAACAGTGTTTCTGGGCGGTGCAAAGAGGTCCGGGCTTTTGTTTTAAGACGTTCCCCCGGACAAAACCGAGGAGGGCCTCGCGGGTAGGTGCGGGGCCGGCACCAGGCGCGGCCGGCCCGGCTGATTCATCCTGGAGCGTCGAGGCGGCGGTGGTCTTTGTCCGCCTCGCTGCCCACGCCGCCCGCTGTCTTTGTGTGCGTGTCAAGCCCGGAGCGCACGGACGCGCGCCTTGGGCGAGCGCCGGGAGAAATGAACCGTCCTCCCCTCAATTAGCAAACTCAAAGCAAATTACAGTCAGCCTTGTTCCAGCTCCGCTGGTTCACGGGGCACTTGGGGGGATTGGGGCTATTGGGGAGAACGAGCTGGGACCTGGGCTGGACTCTCCGAGCAGGGAGTGGAGCCGACCACAGCGGCCTGTGGCGGTGCGATCAGGTCCGCGGGCAGGGGAGGTGCGGCCCCCTCCATTTTCCTCACCTGCACCTCACCAGGTGGGAAGTTAGGGTGGCCTTCCTGTCTGGTCTGGTCACTGGATAGAGGTTCCCCAGAGGGCGATGGGGATTGCAGCCCCAGTAAGTCTTTTCCTCATTGCTCCCGGGACCTCTAGCAGCCGCTCTGAGCCGGGCTGCCAGAGGAGCCTCCTGCTAAGGGATGTGACCAGGGTGGGAAGCTGGCCCAGCCCTGTCTTGGGGCTGGTCAGGAGGGGGCAAAAGAAGGCTCTCTCTCCCCCCTCTCCTCTGTCTCAGTTTCTTTCTTCCCCTCTGTCCTGAGGTCTTTCAGAAGCTTTCACTTTTGAGCCTCTTTACCTCACTGCAGTGGAATAGCTGGGTTGGTCCCCAGGCTGCTGCACCCGCGTCCCTCCTGGCTGCCTCCAGCACCCCCTAGCACCCACTCTCGCTCACCTGCAAGAATCCTGGGCGAGGAGAGGGAAGCTCAGGGAGACCTGACTGCCTACCGGGGCCCGGGCCTGGCACAGGAAGTGCTATGTTTAGGCAACGCCCGGAACCACACAGAAAAGAGACAGCACACTGGGCCCTGCAGGGAGCCGGGGCAGCCGCAGCGGAGTCTCTCCCGCACGCACGGGCTAGGGAGAGGGGTTCGGGACAGGTCGATTTTTGCTTTTCTTAGGATTTTTATAGGGGCTTCCCTGGCTTCTGTTCTCAGCGGACTGAGGGTGTCCCCTTCAGGGCACGGTGAGCAGGACTGTGCGCTGGGGTCCCGAGCCGGGAAAGTGACTCGGGTGACCCAGGGCGGGGAGCCGGGCTGCCGCAGCTCTGCTCCCCAAAGGGAGGCTGTGCACAGGCTGCTGCGGACGCGCAGGGGGCCCGGACCTGAGCGTCTCG